GGTCTGTATAGATTTGAGATTAGATGTCAAAGCAGGAGGGAAATATAGGGTAGGAAAATAGTTTCGATTATTCATTTGCCACCTTTGATTTGATTTTTCTCGCCAACGATTTATTGTAAGAAAACTTGCTGCAATTTCATACCAGTGGTGTCATGGCTGCACTCGGGCCTGCTGCCATTTTTCAAGGTTTATTGTTGATCTTTCTATTTTGCCCCGAGGAAAGTAAACTTGTTTTGAATTAAGTCGGCGTTGACTGGTTTTGATCAACTATCCATGTAAGTTTAGATTCTGATCAAGTCTTTGTTATGCGGCGTTAACCAGAATCCGAGCTCCCTAAAGCCCCCCCCAGAATTCATAGAAAGCAGCCGTTGCGACGTATGCCTGGATGGGCGCCATTCGGACCATTCTCTTTTGCGCAAAAAAACAAATCTAACCTTCGATTTGTAATGCTTGGACCAAAAAAATCGCCGTGTTTTGTATACGCTGTCGGGCCAGAACAAGAAAAGAAAAAGAAATGACGAGGCATGTTAATTGTTGCTGTAGTCTCCTCTTACATGGGGTCTAACTGTTCTCGGATACCGGATCACTCATTTAGATCATGATGCTGCAGTCTTTGTAAAATACTTCAATTAAAAACTCTTTCTGCCTCATGCAAGGACCTTAATCATTTGGTAGGGTTAAAATTTGTGACTGAAACTTTATAAGGACATGAAATAAAATCGAAATCTTATAATAGAAAAACCCGACTCATCTCAAACTTCATATGGGTAAATCGAATTTAATTTTTAAAATTTTGATAAAGAAGTAAAGCTCAAACCTAAGACCTCACCCCTTCGCAATCACACCACACAAGAATACTACTATTTCATTGACATGGGGTTGGTGGTAAATTAATCTTAGTATTATCTATGATGTAACAAGATTAATTTATCCTAGCAGAATTTATATCTGGATTGTGAGGTTAATACATTGATTAAACATCAATGAAATAATTTAGTAGAGATTTTTCAAGTTTAAATTGTTATACCAAGTTTAATAATAATATCAAAAAATTTTGATGATCTAACTGTTTTTTTTTTTTTATGTTTTAAAAAACTTATGTTCAACCGCAATGAAAACATAGACAAATAAACTAGTATGGTTCAAATGGATCGCATAGATAGATTTTTCTTAATAAAAGGTAAAAATTGATCAAATATTTCTCTACTAGTTTATCTAACTGGTACAAACGTAAAGGCTATGTTGAGGGTTTTTCGGGTTGAGAGAAACAAGCGGACTGCATGGTGCGTGTATATAAAAAAGAACATATACTGTATACTGTATACACACCACAATGCTCCTGCAGTGGAAGAGAGGCTAGAATATCAACCACCTTTTATTACGAGCTGGGCCTTATTTTCAATTGGGTTTTTCAGAAACTAATGGATCCCTCCATAATTTGAGGGGGTGTACCAGTACATGCCTCTAGTGCAGTATACATACCTTTTATTACAAGCTGGGCCTTATTTTCAATTGGGTCTTTCAGAAACTACTGGATCCCTCCATAATTTGAGGGGGTATACCAGTACATGCCTCTAGTGCAGTATACACGCCCTTATTAGTCGTAAAATATAGGCTCATCTAGCCTAATTTTGGATCAGCGTCGAAACCCGCTCTCCTCTGGAGAGGCGAGGGAGTAACGCTGGGATTGTCCAGGTAAGTGGTAACGGCTACAAAAATATATGGGAAAAGTCCTTCCAGATTGTTGGATCCAAGGATAGCAAATAAAAGACAAGAAGAAGAGGGGAGGTCAACAAACCTGAATAGTCCTAGAAGTATCTGATGAGCTTCTAGGCTCATTCATAAGCTCTCATGTCATGAATTTTGGGTCATCTTTGTAATGAATTCCAGCAATACTGTTGTATCTAATAACAAACAGTCTGCGAAGCAAAAGGATACAGGGAAGTTATATTTGACATCATATGCATCATGTCTCATGAACGGGAAAAGTCCAGAAGTACTTTTTGACTAATTTAATTCCTTCATAGAAACAGTATTCAAACTGGAATGAAGTATTTAAGCGCTGTGCTTTGGGAGGCTGCTATTTACTTTGGACTTGCTGTTCAACCACCTTTGGCTGTTGGTTCTGCGATTTTCCCTCCCATCCATGCATGTTCTTCCACTTTTTTTTTTAAACAGGAATAACTTTGTAGAATATAGATAAAAATAAATGATAAAATTTAATTTTTAATTAAATTAATATTAAATAAAAAATTAAAAGAAAAAAATAAAGTCATTTAAATGATGAAAAAAAATTCGAGATAACTCGTCAAAAGAAAAAATAACCTCATAAAAAATAAATTGAAAAAAAATATAAATCTCAATTCCTAATAAATTTAATATTAAAAAATAAAATTAAAATTAAAAAATTTATTTAAAAATTTTTAAATCAACTTATAACATGAGTCATGAGATGTGAATATTCTCATAAAACACAAGTTGAAATAAATCACAAAACCTAATTAACAACTAGCTTCATATTGAATAATAAAATTAAAAAAAAAATAAACAGTATTCAAACTGGAATGAAGTATTTAAGCGCTGTGCTTTGGGAGGCTGCTATTTACTTTGGACTTGCTGCCCAGTTGCCTTACAACTTGCTGTTCAACCACCTTTGGCTGCTGGCTCTGCGATTTTCCCTCCCATCCATGCATGGTCTTCCACTTTTTTTTAAAAACAGGAATAACTTTGTAGAATACAAATAAAATAAAAATAAATGATAAAATTTAATTTTTAATTAAATTAATATTAAATAAAAAATTAAAATAAAAAAATAAAGTCATTTAAATGATAAAAAAAAAATTCAAGTTAACTCATAAAAAAAAATAACCTTATAAAAAAAAAATTAAAAAAAAATATGAAACTCAATTCCTAATAAATTTAATGTTAAAGAATAAAATTAAAATTAAAAAATTTATTTAAAAAATTTTAAATCAACTTATAACATGAGTAATGAGATGTGAATATTCTCATAAAACACAAGCTGAAATAAATCACAAAACCTAATTAATAACTAGCTTCATATTGAATAATAAAATTTAAAAAAAAATTAATTAAAAGAAGAGAAGAAAATCGAGTCAACCGATTTATTAACCCGTCAAATCGAAGAGAAGAAAATTGAGTCAACCGATTTATTAACCCGTCAAATCTACAATCCGAGTTATAAATTTGAAATAACCTCATAAATAAATAAATTATAAGAAAAGTTAATTTTCAATAAATTTAATATTAAAAGAAAAAATAAAAATAAAAAATATAAATTATATATATAAAAAAAAATCAACACTATCCTAGCTAACAGGATTTTGAGAGGAGATTTACAGCAAAATCTTCTCTTCCTTTAGTTTTTTATTAATTTTTATTTTTATAATTTATAATTATAATCTCAATAGGACACTGAAACATGAAAACCTATCGACGGGGGAAATTTATGGCAAATCTTGGAATTCTAGTTCTTCTTCTTCTTCTTCTTCTTCGACTACTTCTTGTAAGTATTTGTGTGAAAATTGGATGGTACGGTATTAAAGAGCTTCTGGAGCTCTGTATCCCTAAATTGCCATTCTCGTCCTCTCCAATGTCTTTCAACGCCCACCGTTCTTTCTACACCTTATCTTGTACCTCTTTTTTTAACCATGTTTTTCTCTTACATTTTTTATAAAGCAGCTATATATCCCCAAAGAAGACCTCGGAGATGCTGAAATCAATGGCATCCAGTTTAGAGCCAGAGACTGCAGAAAGAGTGTTCCTTGCATGCGCGGAGGAATAGCAAGTTAATTAATTCAGGCTAAGATTTTATTAATATTTTTTAATTAATTGTATATAAAAAATTTATAATTTTTAATTAAATTATTAAAAATTTATATGAGGCCTTGTAATATAATATTTTAGCTTGAATTAAAATTTTAAATTTTTTTAAAAGATTCTGAAATTTAATAAAAAATCATAATTTAACTAGTTTTATTTTATTATACGTAATTTCCAATCTGACCATCAGATTAAAATAAAAATTTATAAGAAATCTTAAAATATATTGAATAAAATTTAGTTAAAATTTTAAAATGAACTTAACTTGGTAGTGACAATAAAAAAAATATTAAATAAAAGCAAAACAACTCATTAAAAGTAAAATGAGTATTTGCCATTAAAAAGTAAAACAAATCATATTTTCCTTCCTTTTATATGTTGCTGATTAGGCAGAAGCAGAATAAAAAAAAAGACAAGAGAGAAAAATAAGGGAAAAACATAAAAAATCTAATAAAAAAAAGTAAGAGAATAACCTTGTAAACTTACAAGGTCTAACTTATAAAACACTAATATAAAAAAGAATCAAGTGAGGAAATGAGGAATTGAGAAAGGAAAAAAATTTAATTACTTCGTTGATTGTTATTTTATCATGGTTGAGGGGTTATTACAATATTAATTCAGATTTAATTATAGATGAATTATATTCTATAAAACATCGAAGAATATAACTTTAATAGTGAGTTTATTTTTACTTTTTTATTTTAATTTATTATATTTTTAAATTTATTTTTTAATATTTTAAATAATATATTTAAATTAAAACTTTACTATTAACTTTAAAAATTTATATATATTAATTAATAATTAATTTTAAAAAATTATATATTTATTTAATAGCTCAAGATTTAAAAAATTCCTCGCTCCGCCTTTGTTGCTTGGTTTTGTTTCACTTTTCGTCTGTCCACAATCCTGCACCAAAAATCTTAGGAATGCCTATGAACATGCTCGTTCATCCTCAATTATATTGCCATCCCTTCTGAAGGTTTTAATCAATGATTTATTTCAATCATTTTTTTTAATCAAGAGGAGAGGCGTGACCTCAGAGGAATTGAAGAGGAATAAAAGGATGGAAACGATTAACGAGGTCATGCTGCGTAGAAAGTAGAAACAATCATAAGTGGATATGCAACGCAAGGTCGTCCATGGATGAGGAGGCCTAGTTTCAAATACAAAGTTTTATTTCTCTAACGCAAGTGCCTTGCATTCAGATGCATCAATGGCCCTTGATCAGTAAGATAGGGTTGTTGTTACACAATATTGGATTAAAAGCTAAAACGTACTGAAATTGGATAGCATGAGACTAACTATTAACTTATTCACCCCACAGCTGATGCATTTGACAATTAGCTTAGTGCTTTCCTGGTTTGTATCGTTTTCCCTGCAGAGAACTAAACTTGTGTCATTAAGTAATTAACGACAACGAATACAAAGAGGGAGGATTCCTGTACTCTTAGTCTATTACCAGCATCTTCTTGGCTTCTTGAGGCTTTTGTGCAGCCTTCTTGAAGGCCGGCTTTGATGCCGTTGTTTTGGAGGTGCTGTCATTAAGCTTGGCAGGCTCTTTCTTGGCCTGCCCTGAGGGGTGATCAGTGCCAACAGATTTCTCAGCCTTCAATGAAGCCATTGATCAGTAATGCTTCACTGACTGATGGGGAGATAGAATGTTTATGTCTCGGTCAGCTAGCCTCTACGACCTGCCATTTTCGATCTCTTATATATAGCATGTTGAAGAGGAATGAGAATCAGAAAGGCAAAGCTAGCAATAAAAGATGACAAGGGGATGGTGGAAATCGGAAAGAATTGGAATAATTGATTTGGATAGCCCTCGAAATATATATATACGCATGGCATTAGATGCCTATGATATGTAGAATGTTTGAAAGTATAATAAAGATTATTTTTTGAAATGTGTTTTACTTTAAAATATATTAAAATAATATTTTTTATTATTTAAAAATTATTTTTAAGATGAATATATTAAAATAATTTAAAAATATCAAAAAAATATTTTATATAATATTTTAATATTAGTGAAAATATTTAAATTGCTAATTATCATTTATGAGACTCGACAACATTGACATGCTGACATGTCTGTTATTGATATTGTTTTATTACAACGATCATTAGCCATTTTAATTATTAACTTTCAAGAATAAATAAAAATAACTTATATAAATTTATAAAATATAAAATAAGCTCTAGAAAGGGAACTTTAAATATTGGTTGTTTAAACAATATATTTATATTGTTCTTATTTGTGTTCTTTTTTATATTCTCAACGTGACCATTGAGCAACATCTCAATGACCGCCCTATCAAGTATCAAACATCAAATCTTAATTACTTTATAAAAGAAAGAGAACTCTTTTTTCTTTCTTTTTTTATTAAAAAAAATTCTACATCCTTCTTGTCATCATGTAAGACTATCTGAGTGGCCTGTTTCTCAGGCTTCGAATGGCCTTTTTATGGGCTTCTTTTGGTGGGCTTCAAGCTAAGTCTGCGTCAATATATTGAAACTTACGAGCTCCGTTATCTCAAGATGTAACTGGGTCCGGCCCATACTACTTCTGTAACCATATAGCCCAAATGATCGAGCTTTTTATTTGGTTCAAGTAAAATGAATTAGGGTTTTTTCTAAAATGTGCACATTAAGTCAAAGTAGGCCCTGAGATTTTAAATCCTGAGAATTGTTTTACACGACTGCTTATCTTTGAATTACGGGTTGTTCTTGAACTTAAACAACATGACTAATATTGCATGCAATGATAGTTGTTTTGTGACTAGTAATATCTTATTCTCGTCCTTCTAAGAAGCATGGATGCCTCGCGAAATGTTCGACGACATGCTATTAACATATATATTCCGATATTTCTCTTTATTTTTTGTTAAATTATTCTTAAAAACTTGTAAATAATATTGTTTAAATAAATATTAAAGTAAATACGTACAATCAATTTATATGTACAAGTTTAATTGCGCACCGTCCTCAAGTATAGTAAAATTAAAATTATGAACTATCCTGGAGTATTGATATATACTTGTAAATAAATAATCTCAAATTATAATGTGTTAACTTTATATTAGTTTAATTTGTTTTAATCAGTTGCCTTATCTCTCTGTGTACTGAAAATGGAGGACAAGAACACGATGATAGTTTATTTGAGTTTCATGTACGTAGGATTGTGTATAACCTCCAGAGACATTTATTTACGGTCATTAATTAATACAGTATTTGTATATAGATACAACTTACAAGAGAATTGAACATAAAATTTAAAATTAATAGATTCATTATATGTAAAAAAGTGTCTTGAATCTAGCTAGGGCATTAATAAATCCAATTTAACTTGAAAGATAATTTCAACATTGTACGTGGATGCAACTTAGTACAAATTTGAACATGAACCTTTAAATTAATTAATTAATTTTCTGTATATTAAAAGTTTCTTGATTCTAGCATCATATGAAAGAATTAAACATGAACTTTTAAGATTGATAGATTCATTACATGTTCGTGATTTTACAGCCTAAAGTTTAATTATACAGGATATGTAACTTAATATTTATGACATCTCTCTATACTGTATTTTTGAAATTTGGAACTGCATCATTTGGAGCAATATTTCTTATCAATTATAAGCAAGATGAAACATCTTAACTCTTATATAATCCGAGCATCTGAACTCCTATATAATCCGAGCATCTGAACTCCTGAACAATTGCATAGTATTGTATGTATGTATTTTGCGTTGGGTAATTGCACGATTCAAATTAGGGAACAAGTTTGATCTTTTGAGAATGTGAATAACCTGGATTTGTTGGCTTACCAGAGGGTTTACTTGCAAGGTACTTCCTTATACTTTCAATTACAGCAGCAAGCCTTTTAGGATACTTGCTGATAAATCTGAAGTGGGGCACCGAGTTTTTTCTTTCAGACAAAACAGCTTGTCTTTGTGGAGTACCTGTGTGTGTGTGTGTGTTTTTTTCTCATGCAATCGCATGTTTACACTAACAAAATGCTGTTCAACAGGTACCTCACTAGTTCTTTCAATTCCATGCACACGATTTAGTTTAATTACAAATGTCATTGATGGAATAGTAGAGTCCTAGTATTTCTAATTGTCTGCAGGCATATTGCCGTCTAAGACGTGACATTCGAACAAATATTATGCCCTTCAACGGATTTATTTCTTGATTTTTGAAAAAACTTTCACAATAATATGAGCAACCTAATGGAAAGAAAAATCCAGCAACGGCAAACAAGTCCTCTAATTAATATGTATTTTATTTATTAGGCGAAAAGCCTGAAAGAGGCACATGGATGGGAGAGAGAAATAATGGAGATCACCATGAATATACATATAACTATTTCATGGGGGTCTTCACATGCCTTCCTACTTGTTTTTCTTATCCTCATTTAGCTGATGGTTTACTGGATCCTGATGCCTGTAATGAACCAATAAAAAACCTCAATTAGACAACGCACGCGATTAGCAATTTCATGATGAATATGTTGAGACCATTTTGTATAGTATGTTTATGAAAACCTTATGATGCATTAAGGTTACACGTTGATAATTATGAACCCGTTCGGCATGACGATCAAGTGCAGTGAAGATGCAAAATGCATTAATTTGGAGTTTTTTTTTGTTTTAACACAACCTTATTATCAAACACCTACATGATATAAGGAAAGTTTTGCATACCTTCTTTTTAAGCTCCCGGGGCTTCTGCTCGGCCTTTTTAGGGGCTGGTTTTGATGCCGGAATTTTGGGTGCACTGCTGCTGGTTTTAGCTGCAGGCTCTTTCTTGACAGGCTCGCTTGGCTTAGTGCCACCAGGTTTCATTGCTTTGAGTGATGCCATTCTTCTTCGGTACCCTGTCAAAGAGGTTGCACAAACACTTGCTGGCCTGAGTAATAGGGTCTTTCAGATAGTCCTATTTATAGCCAGGCTGCTTAATTATAACATGGAATCCGAAGAAGTAATTACATCAGATGAATGGATAGGTAGGTGTGGCTGTTTGAAGGAATAGAATAACTTGAGCTGGAGGCCCTTTGAGAGATACTGCATCGGATGCTTGGCATACTTTAACGACATTATTGGATGCTTATTCTAATATAGAGGCGGTTATTTTTCAAGGAATAAGCTTGAATGCAAGTGCATTCAATGAGCTACAGATAAATCCGATGTTTGATTATCTTGATTAATAGTCAGATCATGTCACCCTTGTAGTTACAATTAAATAATTGCGATTAATTTGAAAGGATTTTCTATAATGACAAGGACCACATGTATTGATTGCATACTTACTAGTTATGATAAAACAAGAGCTTTTATCTACAAAATAGCATTCTGCAGAATTTGCAGATACCTGTTTCTGTTTCGGCCACTGATCTACGCAATCTCATGGAACTGATGCCAGATACTTGACTGTAGTTCACATGGAAGAGATGTAGGATTTCAAAATAAGAGTAAATTTACATCACAAAACTCTCTGCAGAACAGACCTATACTGGCCTGGTAGAGATAAGAGGGACGACAGTAGATGAAGTGGAGGATGAAAGGCTGAAGTCAGGAGTTTATATTCTTCTATAAAGCTAGTGAAATCATTCAGTGTAAGCTTTCCCTTTCCCTCCCAGAAGATTTGTTATGCATGCAGTTCTATTAGTATAATTATTGTAGCAATAAACTAACTTGATTACCTGGCCTTCCATGATAAATTGGCCCTGTAACAGAGAATTTCAAAGTTCTATTACAACATCTTGGTTTCCCTTTAAGATTCTGTATTCTAGGCACTGGAAACTGAAAACAAATTCCTAACTCATTCTTTTAAAGAAGGCAGAACTTCTTTGTATTGATTTTCGTGCTCTCTTGTTATTCCTTTAATATTTTTCTTTTTTTATTATTTCTATATAATAAAATTTATGATATATATATATATATATATATAT